TGCAAGCCAGAACTACCATGTTTTTATGAGACCACCAACACTAAATGAAAACTTTCCTTACTCTTTCATTCAAATGCAGTTGCGCCAGGGCAGAAGCAGTCATTGCACAGCCACACAGCATAGAAGAATATGCTATGGGCTACCTATATTGTCTCCTTCCCTGTATTACAATCCAAGGGCTTGTAAGGGCTTCCTAAGAGGTCTCCCTGTGCTACATTTGCAGACAACAGCTCCCTTTCCCTCCCCAGCCTCAGGGAGTGCTGCTGCCCGGCCCTGCTATCTGCCATAGCAAGAAGGAGCCTTAAGTGGAGAGCACAAGGGAGTTGGTGGCTTCAAAGCTCCTCGAAAGAAGCAGCCCTATTTCTACAGCAAGTAACAAAGTCAATAGGCAGCATTAGACAAAGAGATAGAAAGTGCTGTGGGTGCTACAGCCTCAGGACAAGAGCCATTGAGGGAGCTGTGGGGAGTGTGGGAGGGGGTTAAGGGGAAAAGCTGAGCTCATTGCATCCCAACCAGACAACATCAGGCAGGAAACAGATGTGCAAGAAACCACAGAGGGGTACAGCAACATCAGAATTAACTCTCCAGCAAATAGGGGAAGCTTGGGCACACAGATCTGACCTGCACTCTAAGAACAAGGCATCTAATCTAAGATTTGGCTTTTTGCAGCCCTGGTAGCACCTCCTATACCAACATCTAGACACCATCAGGCTAAAAATTAAGGAAGTGATTCACCCTTTCTCCAAGTCCTACCTGGCTGTAAACAAATGAAGCCAAAGTATGTCTGAATCAGTAGCAGTTTCTATGCAAAAGACTGGGTGATCTTTTAGCAGCGCAATCCAATTTTTGTAGATGATCTGTGTATTTCCATTTTAAAAAGTGGAAGATGCACCTGATTGTGTACCTGAACTCCCAGTCGGAATCTCTCATAGTTAGAAGTATTGGGAATATTAAGCTCCATTTTGACTTAGTCTCTCTCACATTAACAGCTTTGACTTTTTCAGCCCCTTCTTACAAAACTTCTGTGACAAAACCAGAAGCAAGACTACTATTTGTGACTGTTTTCTTAAGCAGGTCAGACTGTCCTGCCCCAACTAAGGTTTGTGCACAACCTTGCATCTTGTCTTCTCCGCTGGCCCATCTGTCACTAGAAAATTATACTGTTGTTATTACAGGAACTGGGGGCCTGATGTGCAGCTGCCATTGACTTCATTAGAGACACTACATGCTTTTCTCCTCTGGAAACCAGGCTGGTTATCAAGAGACCAAAACGTAACTCTAATGTTAATCCTTCAAGGGTAATATCTGTTAGCTCCATTGCACCTGTACAACACTTTAATGAAGTTTGACACAGGAAAATGTTTTGGTAGAGGGCATTAGCACTAAATTCCTCCTGCATGGGTGCTTATCCATGCCTAAAGCCTGACACTGTTTCCTAGTGAAGCTCCCACACTCCAAAAGATCACTTGCCTCTGTGTGTGGATTCAGTGCTGGCAGCAACAGAAGAGGGACTATGTGAAATCAGACGACTCTTACTCATTGGTATTGCCAGCCACCATTCCTTCATGTCTTATGTGAGCTTTTCCTTGGATTCACTGCTATTAAAATCATTGTTTGAGAATTTCAGTGGGAAGGAAGAAAAGCTAATTTTCCCCCAAGTTTCTAGCCATCTTGCCAGGAGAAAGACTTGAAAATATAACTCGGAAGCACGCTGATGTTTCAGAAAACAGAAGAATAACCCAGCACTGATTTTATTTTATCTCATGATTTTTGTGGCCTGAGTCATGATTTTAAATGCTTGGGAGCACTGATAGCAGTCTGCCTCCATAAGGAGCATGACCAGTCCTTGTGTAGAAACTGCCAGGAGGAAAAGGGCAAATAGGGTCAGACGCAGTAGTGACAGGAACTGACTTGAAACACAGTAAATTCAACACATCTGAGCTTCGAACCAGCCACCAGACAGCAACATCTGTCCATCACCACTGACCTCGGTCAGATCTGAAGAATCAACTCAGGGCTAAGGGCTTTGTATCACATTTTTCGTCTCCTGAGCTACCCACCATACCTGCTAAAATCTTTCCATCTACACTGCTCTTAAATACTTTGTAGTTCTACTGAAGCTTTTATTGTATTATTGTATTATCATATAGCTCTTTATAACCGAACCTTAAGTACATCTGTCTGGTAAAGGAGACAGTGGGATCTTTTCACCTTCCACCGAAACACAGCTATCTCTGAAGCAGACCATAGCAAGTTGTTAAACAGTTAAATGACAGGAGAGGAAATGCTGATACCTTAAGCAGAATATAATTCTCTCCACTGGAATTTGGCAACGACACAGGGACTAAGGTCCTTGCAGAAAGCACAAGTAGCTCTTCAACAACCACAAGCATGTAGGGACTCAAGTTGTGCCTCTCCTCCACAGACCATCACAGAAGTAGTGCAGCACCCCCTAACTGTAACGGCCGTGTACTAATCCGCAGGATAAAAAGCCAAACTGAATTGTTTCTCCTAGCCTTGGCCATCCCCTGTGCTCCCTTTGCCATTCCCAGCACCAGCAAAGCAGGTCTCTGCTTCACTTTGCCTGTGCGGGTGTGCAGGACCAGTCACACAAAGCGGCACTCCAGCATGGCACACAGCAGGCCTGGGCACGAAAGCACAACCGATCTGATTTGTGTCCTGCCTGTCCTACAGCCTCTTCTTCTTTTCCAGTTAACAATTCTGGGTGCATTTTAAAACATGCTTTCACAAAGATCCACAACAAAACATTTTCTGGACAGCAGCCAAAGTGTTCTCCCCCTCCTCATCACTCCCAGATACCATGAAGAGTCTTACATCTTTGTTGCTTCCAAGTAGGGAACAACCAGAGCCAGCATCCCACTAGTTAGACACAGACGACTATCTCAAGCAGAGAGAAAGTTACTGCTTTACATCCCTACCAAAGCCCCTGCTTGAAGGAGCACCGGCTTGTCACTGGAAATAATTCTTAGCAGAACGATTCAACTATCCCCAAATCAGTCATCTTTCATACCCCACATGCTCTTCTAATTTTATTTCATAGTTACAGGTTGCACGTTTGTGATTTTTGGTGACATCTGAACCTCTGTTTCTTCCCAGTATGTCACTTTGGCATACTTGGTCACACTCCTATTGATCCAGAGAGCCCTACTAGCAACAAAGTGAATATCTCTAATTTCTTCTTTCCCTGTTCTGATGAATTGAGTTGTACCAATCTAACTTAAACCTTTCCCAATAAATCTATAACAATTAAGTCTTTCATTTCTGGATCCCACGGCACTGGGCAACGGGATGTGCTATTCAGCAAATAGCAGTACAGCATAAAGGGAAAGGAACTTCATATTCTCCCCCACTACTCCTCAGCATGGAGAGATAAGTAGGTTGCAACTATGAACCATCCCACAAATGAGACTTGAGACAATGTCCTTCTTTCTTGTGCCCAAAAACTATTTTAAAAAACTCTGGGATTTTGGGTAGTAAATTTTGCTGTTCTGGCCTAATTCAAACTGCAGTAACTATGTTTCTCCCTTTAAAATCCCCCTTGCTGCTTCAACTGAATATACTGCCTGTGCCTGCCTTCCCTGCATTGTTTTCCAGTGTTCCTGTAAACAGCTGTAAATTGTTCCTCCCCGCGGCAGCTCATGTTAGCACTGGATGGAATTTACTCTCTGCATCTCACGCTGGCAAAGCGGTTCCAGTTCATTAAGTCTGTTATTTTTGCTATTTCTAGTCAATCTCCATTAAAGGCTATGTAAGTTAAAAGATACAGTAATTGTTATGGATGACTCACAATGAAATTGAATGACCGGTTTTCCCCCATACCTAAGTAAATGTACATATATAAGATTTTATCTTAGTGATATATGTACTACCCTTCTCACTGTGCAATGGAAAGGACTACTGTTATGTAGTCCATCCCTCTGCCAATGCAGTTCCACACTGTACTCCATCAGCCATGCTCATCAGCAAATGAAAGACCTGATTGTACCAGCCCTCCCCGTACAAAGCTGACATTGCTGCTAGAAGTATTTTTTTTTTTCCCCTCAGAGTAGCCTGACATTGCTAAAAGTTAGTTAATTCAAACAGAAGCATAATGCTAACATCAGGGATAGTAATAGACATATATTTATTTTTCCTCTTGCTAAACTACAGGTCTTTCTGTATGCCAAACTCACAACTGCTTCTCACCAACCCTCTTTAAGAAAAAGCATTCAGCTCCTTCCCTCATCGGGGACTGACCATTTCAAGCTCATGACCCTCTGATCTTATTGGAGTTACCTCTTGTCTGAACTACCATGCTCTTATCTGATACCTAGGGTCATGGAGGTCAGGGGGAGGAGGAGAGGAAAGATAACAGGCAGGGTAGTGAAAATATTATCTCAGCTGCCCCTTACACCTCACACCCATCCCTTAGTCTACCCTACAGCCCACTCTCTGTCCTGTCTCCATCCCACAGTGAAAGGACAATGTGGGAACTGCATTGGAGTCCAGGAGGGGCAGATGGGACGTTCCCAGCTCTTCTCTACAGCCCAGCAACGCTCTAGTCTCGTGGACTTCAGGAGGATTTTGAAGCCAGGAGGAGGCAACGCTAAGCACAGTTCTGATTTCCGAATTTGGCTCCCTAAAAGCCTGCTACTCCCTTCCACAACCGGGCGGATGGGAGAGGGCATCGCAGCGTACGGCTGACCACCTCTGTCCTCGCTTAGGCAGCCCGAGAGCCCTAGCCCAGTCCTTTCCCCACACACAGCACTACTCATGCAAGGGTCACACAGACGCGTCACCAAAGCAATCTTCCGATTGTTCATTCATTGTGAGTAACTGGGCAGTGACTCCACTTTCTGGGGACAAACCAGCTCCAGGTTGTCTAGACCTCAGCCTTGGGAAAGGTCCGTTTTGCAGTCCTACCGGCAAAAAAAAGAAAAAGGGGGGGGCACGCGTGCACTGCTCGTTCGCAACCAGAGTGAGAATAAAGAGGCATTTACCATCCTGCCCAGAGCTCTCCAGATACTCCGTCAGGTCGCAGCCGAACGCGCTCGCGGCTCCCTTCCTCTTGAGTTTCTGTTTGGCTCCCTTGTTCTTCATGAGGTTAGTCCCAAAAGAGGTTCGCCCCCCTCCTGCCGTGCCCCCCTCCCCCCCGGCCTCACGCTGGGCGACAAAAATCTCGCTCTTCTCCTCAGACCACCGCCTGTGTCCCACTCCCAGGGAGCAACATCGGGGGTCCCGTATAGCGTCCAGCCAGAGAAGTAAACATTAATCCCCACCAGATGTTGGGCTGCTCCTGTGGCAGAGGAAGGTCAGGGCGAGAGGAGGCTCCCCAGCCGGCAGCAGCAGCGATCATAGCCTGAGCCCGGAAGAGTTCTCATCAGAGGGAAGTGGGTGGTGGATGGGTGCCCGCATCGGAGCTGGCAAGTTGGGGGCAGATGATGGTGGGAGGGGGGGACGGGGGACGGGACGTCTTTCCCTCAGCGCAATCCCGGGAACCTCCACGGCCACCTTCTGGGTCTTGTCAGCCACACTGTCACCGCTCCCAGCAGAAAGTGTCCCAGTCTGGTTGTCCTTCTCTTGGCTTTCAGAGGAGACTGGAAGTTCAAACGGACTAATGAAAAGGGACCAGGGAAGAGTCGGCACAAGGCTTCTCTTTGGCTCCCCCCCTTCCCCTCCTCCTGCCTTCGGACAGTTAGAGGAATGAGAAACCAGCTTCCTGTCCTGACTCCCACTCGCTCGCTCTCTCCTTTCCCCCGTTTTACAAATCCTAGGATTATCCAGCTCAAAAAAATGCTGAAAGGAAGTTAGCTGAGGAGGGGGGGCGGAGGACGGTTTTTGGCAGTAAAGTGCATGTGTGTGTGTGTATGTGCGCGCGCGTGTGTGTGTGTGTATGAGAGGCTGAGGGAAGGCGGGGAGAGGAGTTGGGGGACGGGGATGGGGATGGGGAGGGAGGAAGAGGGAAAGCCTGTCCTGACAGTCAACAGATAACGGACTGCCTGAGAGGAAATCACTGCGAGCCGAGCCGCAGCCCGCGGCGCGGTCAGACGCTTCCTGCGCTGCCAAAGCTCAGCTCTGAAAAGGCCTGAGGAGGGGCCGGTGAGGAGGAGAGAGACCAAGAGCCACTCCAGTAAATCGCTGCCTCCGTTCATCGAGTCCTTCGTTGCAAGGCGCCTTCCTGCCCTCTAACATGAGTCTGTCACTTCAGGATTTGCCTTTCTCTACGGAGGCGCAGGCTGGAGCTACCAAAGTGCAAGAAGAGGGCAGAAAGTTGGGAAACTAAAGAGGGGGAAGGAGGGAAACCTCCAGCTCCCTCCTCCCCAGCAAGCAGAAACAGATGCTGTCCAGGTATCTAAATTCACGTACTTTCAAGTCAGCTCCCAAAAAAGTCTCCCCTTGACCAGTGAAGGGGTTTAGAGATAAGGAACATAAATCACCCAGTAGCAGCAAGAAGAGAAATGGGATGCATCTACCCTCAGGCTCTGAGTCTTGCTCCCCACTGCCTGAACACCTTTCTAGTCTGACTTTCAGTACATGCATATTGCTGCTCTAAAGAGCAGTCACTTGCACTTACTCCACATTTTTTATCCCAGAAACTCAGACCTCTTCACAGGGCTGGGTATGCTGATGGGCCACATGCTTCACCTAGGGAGGCAAACTTAACTCTGCTAAAGCTTCACTGCCCCCTCTTGCTCTGTGCCAAATATAACTGTAGAGGTCTGGGTGAAAAATAAACAAACAAATGAATAACAGGAAATTGCAGCTTTCCACCAAAAAATCAGACCAAAGACAAGGAGTGTGGTTTTGGTTTGGCGGAAAACTGGCCAGGAAACAGGGCAAAAGACTCCCGTAAGCTACCTCCCTCCTCAACCCTGGGCTCTGCACCCTCACATGGCAGAGAAACTCCATCTCCTCCCACAGACATCTGCAAACTCACCATTTCACCCCTTTATTTTGACAGAGTCATTTTTCAGAGAGATCGAGCCTCCAACTGTGATCCAACTGCTGCCAAAAGCAATTCAGGTTCTGTCTGTTGGTATGGTGACTCCTTTTTTATTTTCCCTCAAAAGTGTTGGATGTTACCACTTCACATACAAGAAAAAACACCGAGCCCTAGTGAAGGACCTTGAGCAATTATAACTCTCATTGTGCAGTTTACCACCGTAATTATCATCATTATCCCCATTTTACAGCTTGCTGGTTGATGGCTTGAGGGGAAAATGATTTGCAGAAGGGTGCCAGAGAGAAGTCTGGCCTGTCGGCTTCCAGCCTCCTGCTCCTGCTCCCAGGCTAAGGGGGAAATCTCAGCTCTCGCTGCCAGACCAGGGGCTGTTCTCAGGGACTCTTAGTGCTCACGGAACACTTAAAGCTTCCTTGAATTTATGCTGGGCTTCTCACAGCACCTTGATGTCGCGTCGGCACACAGGATCCCTCCCTCCCTGTACCGGCGTGCCGCCAAACCCATCGCGTGCCGCAGCGCATCCTGCCTGCCTGCCAAAGGGGCAGACTTCAAACGGGTCAGACAGACAACAGGACGCTCAGACCTGGATGTCTCGCCAGGCCATCCTCCCGCTGCCCGGGTGGCTGGCTGCCTTCTGTAGGGAGAGAAAGCCCTCTCCTTGCCCCCCTCGGGGAGGAGGTGCATCCTCCTGCACATGCCAGCGCTCTCCCTCAGGGCTGAGCCAGCATCACTGGACCTGCGACGGGCAACAGCTTCCCTGTGGCACGTAACCACAATGTCTTCTTCGAAGTCCTGAACTCCTTTCTGCAGACACCTCCCTCCCTCCTTGAGCCAGTCAGGACATTTAAACTCCCCACGCTGGTCTCCTCCACCCTCTACATCAGACAGCCTCATTAACAGGGTCTTTGTCCCCAGCCCTCGCCTGTCCCCTTTGCCTGTTGACTTGCCATGCCACACTCCTGCCCTCCCTCATCTTAGATACGGTTTCCCCACACCTCCCTTGCAAGCCTACCCAAACAGGATGCCTTCAGACAAGGATGGCTTCATTTAAAAAAAAAAAGTATATATATATATATATATAATTCTATAAATAAAATCAACCCCTGCATGTATAGTGCTTCCTCATGTCACCAGCGAGGGAGCTACGGCCCCAGGCACAGCAGGGAGCACCCTGGCATGGCTGCTGTGCAGCATGGGCCCCCTCCCCTTCCTCGCACAGCCCTGCTCCAAGGGGCCTTGGTGGCCCGTGGCCCCAGGGCAGATGCGCTCAGCAGTGCTGCTGGGTCAGCCTGTCACCCTCGCCCCTTGGCATCTCTCACAGGCCGATTGGCATTTTCAGCTGAAAACACCATTTCTTGGGAGTCCGCTCTGTGGCAGTTCCCTGCAGCTGCTGAGGGAGGCGCCATCTTTGGGAGCCGTGGTGGTGGGTCTCTCTGGCCAAGGAACACTGTAGAAATCAAGCACTGCCGTCTGATTTTGGTTATCTGGGAGCTGTACTGTGCCACCCTAACCCCAGCCAGGCTATGGGTGGGCGACGTCTGTCCAGGGCTGTAGCACAGGACCGCCATCAGCCATTTCCACCAGTGTGCTGTGGTGAGGGACGGGGAGAGAATGGCCACCTCCATGCCAAGAAAAAAAACACAAGCACAAGTGCAGGGAAGAGGAGCTAGAAACAAAACGGGGAGGATTCTCACTTTATTCATAGAGGCTCTTTCAGATGTTGAAGCTTGCTGCCCTGCTGCCCCCATGCCAGGTACCCCATGGAGGGAAGATGGAACCAGAGAAAGAAAATGGTGCGGCAGGCAGGGTGAAAGAGGTGTGAGTTGCAGCAAGCGAAAGAAAGCACAAGATGCCCCAGGTGAGCTCTTGACAGGGAGACTGTGCTACAGGGGTGGCTTTCCCCACGCCAGGATGAGGTTCAGCAAGAGGACAGAGGGGAGGTTGCTGTGGGATTGCCTGGGGAGCCCAGGACCGGGAGGACGAGGTCAGGCAAGGTGAGCAGGAACCAAACAAGGGAGGCTTTACAAACAAAGCACTTCGTATTGGAGCCTGAAATCAGTGCTGAGCCAGGGGATTTTTCCAAGGGAAAGGGGTGATGTTCTCCTCTCCACGAGGCAAAAATAAGAAGTCTGGATTTGCACAACCCGGGAGGCAGGACAGCTCTCTGCAGTAGTTAGGGTGAACAGCAGGGCTAAGGAGTAAACCAGTGTCCCTTCTGGAAAAGCTTTCACAGACAAGAACAGGCAAAGCTGAAGAAGAGGGGCTTGGGCCAGAAGTATGGAAAGCAAAAAGGAGTTCAAAGCTGAAACATCTGGAAAAGAAGGGGGAATTTCTCTCCCTCCCCCCAGAAAAAAAAAAAAAAAAGGAAAAGAAAAAAGTGAGTGTGCAGAATAAGAGCAACACTGAGCCAAGTCAAGCCAGAGCTCTCAAAGAAGCAATGTCTCTGTAGAGATTACTTCCTAGTCCCTGTTGCTGTAAAAATGGCGCGATGGCCAGCTGCCCCAGGGTACCACAGCTCCAATCAGGAAGTCATGGCCCACGACACTTACTTTAATTCCTTCCCTTTGAACCTGTAAAAATAGGTCAGGATTTCAAGTTAGTCACAAAGCCCTCCCTGTCAGAGAGGGCCGCAGGTTCGTGCAGGAAGGTGGGGCACCTTCCCACCCTGCTTCGATGCTGATCTGTGGTGACTCGCCCTTCGGCTTGAGAGCGGATGTGGCAAGCCAACGTGTGTGTGTGAATGAACTTAAGACACATAATGACTTTACAGTTCTCTCCATTCTCACAGACAAGGTATCAATGACCCCAGAAACAGTCAGAGGTCCCGGGGAACGGCTTTGGCCACTAAGCCTAAGTGTTTCTTCCCCTTCTAAGAGCCGGGGCCGTGGTGGAGGCGTCACACAAGCTATTTCTGGGCACCCATCTCTCCCCTCCCTGCTGCGTTTCCTTCATTTTGTTTGAGCTCTTTCCTATTCGTGGCTTTAAAATCTCCACCAATCTGCCAGGCGCCACTCAGCACAAAAGAGCAGGGGGGGCCAGGGAGGGGAAGACCCAGGGAGGGGGGGATCTGAACCCCTAAAAATAGCCCTGCCAAGTACAACCGTTTTCCTGACACAGACAGTTCATTGTTAGACCCTGACACGCCAGTTCACCCTCCCTCCCCACCCCTCAACATACTCTCTTTCCTCTCCTGCCCCTCTCCAGCCCAGTTTCCTGTCTACTCCCATCTCCGTGGCCAAAGCTGGAGCATATTGTGAAACCTAAAGCCTGGGGTGGAGGCTTTTGTTTCTCTGAGTACATATTAGACCACAGATTATGGGGCTACCCTTCAGCTTCCTTTGTCACAGGGCATCCACTGTTCTTGGTTCCCAATTTCACCCATTCTCAGCCACAACACTGTGTCCCCTAGCTCTCATGTCCCTTTCTGCCTTCCAGAGGACCCTCTTGCCCCACATCATGACACATCTTCTTCTGTGTGCGTCTGCCCCATGCAAGCTTTTTGTTAGCTACTTTGCAGATCCCAGCACTTCAGGTACAAGTGAAGGAGGCACCTCACGCTTGTACGCTACCGAGCCTCCTTAATGCTGGCTGCATACCCATGACACAATAGTGCAAACAAGAGGTACAACAGACCTGTGCCCAGAAGGCTTTAGCTATGAGCCCATATAATGATGTGATGTCACTACAGTGATGTCATTTAAGGCAACCAGAAAAGAACAAACAGAACATCCCTTATATCAGAAAGGTACTTTTCTCCCACTTTGCTGGTTAAGGCATGGGGCAAGGATCTACAGCCAGAGGACCAGGTGTAGTCACTGAGATAATAGGAGCAGACATACATTCCTGCCCATCCCACTTCC